AGAGAGAATACCTACAAGAGGTAGAAAGCTAGAAGAAGAAAAGAAGAAAGCTAGAAAGACAAAAACAAGAAGGAGAATAGAACCTAAAAATTAAATAGGAAAATAGAATTTCAAAAATTGTCATTGACATGAATGTACTAAAAAACTAAAAACTAAACAATTGCAGGAGGTTAGTTTATTATACACAAATGCAAATTCCCTTTTCACCAAGTTAGATGAGTTTCAATTAATAAATCACCAACTCTTATCTTTGTACCAGGTTACACTAACTTTCAGTGCTAGAGACCTGACCAAAGAGGTGGCGGAGTATTAATATATATTAATAAACAAACTAATGGAATAAAAATTAGTGCAAGCCTTAATGAAGATTACAAGAATGAACATAATTCAAAAATCATGTCTACATAGGTAGATGTTAAATTTAATAAAGAAACCTTACTAATATCATGTAACTACCGTCCTGGAATGGTTGGACAAGAAAATATTCGTCTAACAGAAATGATGATCTGAATCAGAAGAGAAATGTAATCATATTGGGGGATTTTAACTATCGTGATATTGACTGGAGAACATTAACACTTTCACAAAACAAGGAAGAAGCAAGAGACTTTCTCACCACATACACACAATCGAATTTTAAGCAACTTATTAACTTTCCAACACGAATATGCAATAAACAGAGCTCTCTGATTGATCTGCTGCTGGTAAATAACAAAAATCTAGTCACCTCAATAAAATCCGAACCTCCAACAGGCTTGAGCGACCATGTAGTCATTACAGCAATCATTTAGTTAAACCTCAAAACTGGCAGTACTTACAAAGTGCAAAAACGAAATTTTTGGAAATCAAATTATGAAGCGATCAACAAACAAATTTCCCAAAAGAGTACTCATTTACAAGTAACAGAGGAAACAACACATGCTGCTAACAGTTCTTACGAAACTTTAAAAAACATACTACCACAAAGTAGTAAACGACAATATTCCACTAGAAGTAATAAATGAAAACACTGAAAAACCCTGGATCAATCGAACCCACTTCAAAGAAATTAATAAAAAATGGAACCTATGGCATAGATACAAGTCAACAAGAGCTGAGGAAGATTATGCTGCATACAGAAATCAAAACAATAAACTTAAAAACACATTGGCTGTATCTAGAAAAGATTATGAACACAACCTTTTAAAAAGCGGCGAAAATAAATTTTACTCCTATGTGAAAAGAGTACTGAATACAAACAGCACTCAGATCATGCTAAGAAACCAAACAACAAATTTAGAAATCACAGAACCAGTCGAGATAGCAGAAAGATTCGCAGAACAGTTCAGTGCAGCTTACACAACAGAACCTGATACAGAATCACCGCAAATAACTACAACAGAAAGAGTTGAGAATTCGCTCCGTGCGAAGTCATGGAAAGGGAAGCAAAAGCGATACTAGCGCTAGCTGCGGATAATTCGTGCATTTTAGGGCGATATTTTGTAATTTTGGCATATCAAATACACGTATACATTTTACTTTTTTTCAAAAAAGTAGGTACAGACAATACAATAAGCAACCGGAGTTGCTGTGTTGACAATTGTACAAATACTAGCAAAAAAAAAACAGTGAAACTTATATAAAAAATGTCAGTAGCAAAGTAGAAATTAAATCAAAGAAATAAATGGATAGATGTACAATGAGAAGAAAAATTACCTTTATTTTTGAAATAATAACAGTAATGCTGTAAATAGTAGACATCAGAAACTTAAAAGGTTTTAAATAAACAATAAATTATCATTTTACGATGTTCTTTAATGTCCTTTTATTCTTAAATGTTCATTCAGCAAGGACTAGATTTCAAGATTTCTGCCTTTGATTATTATATGTGGATAGAATGTAATTTTGTGACTTACTGACTGATGAGAAACCAGTTTTAATCATTCATTCTATGTTTTCTTTCAAACAAAAATGAAAATATAAATAGCGATCCTTTTTTATACATTTTAACTTCACGCTATTATTAAATGGTATTTTTTTATTTTGACAACAAGCTAATTCTTCAATGACAACTTATTAGACTTAGGCAACTTCTCATACATTTTCCAGTAAATACTGTTGCCTGCCTATATTTTATTATTGATTTTCATTGATTATACATAATTTTCTTTAATTTAAGCGTTAAAATATATATATATATATATATATATATATATATATATATATATATATATATATATAATAATAAATTAATGTTTTACTTGTTTTACAAATCCATATACTTTTATTAAAACTAACATATACTTTTTAATTACGAATTCTATTAAAAATTGTATTTGTCAGTATACACAGAAATAGTCCATTAATACCAAAACGAATTGGCGCTGCGGTCGCGCACGGAGCGAATAGCATAGTTAATATAGAATTTGCGCCAGAAATTTTCAATAGATGGTCTTAAACAAGATTCAAGTCCCGGAACAGATAAAATCCCAACCATTCCTCACGACAGTTATGAATGACTCAATGCAAAGACGTGGACTGGAAACAAGCTCCTATAATATATAAGAAAGGTCACAAAAAGAATCCCATAAACTACCGACTAGTCAGTCTTACAAGCTGTATCAGTAGCGCAATGAAAAAGATTATTAAAAAAGAAGTAACTGAGTTCATGATGGAACACAGAGTTTTACCAAGCAATCAGCATGGATTTATGCCCAAAAGATCTGCTGTTACAAATATTCTAAGTGCAGTTAACCAGTGGACAGCTTGGAATGACAACAACCAACCAACTGATGTGATATATCTTGATTATGAACAAGCTTTTGATAAAGTTCCACATAGAATGCTGCTGCCAATTGGATGGAATAAGAGGCAATCTATTATTGTGGATCAAGTTTCTTATTCAGCCGGCAGTTCTGCGTAAGAATAAATGATCAGATGTCAAAAAAACCATCCAGTTCAAAGTGGAGTACCACAAGGCTCGGTCTTGGGTCCTCTGTTATTTATTTTATACACCAGAGATTTATGCAAAATCATCGAGTCCGAAGCCAACTTTTATGCAGACGATTTTCCATCGTCTGCAAGCCACTGGAAAGCTCTCAAAAAATGAAACAATACTTGAATAAAATAAGGATAATTGCCTGACCGTAGCAGAAGGTCAATACCAAGGACATTTTTATTTATATTGAATAAAATAGGAATGTGGTCCCAACAATGGCTACTTTCAACATAAACAAGTGTACAGTATTGCACATAGGCCCAAATAATCCCCACACACAGTACACATTAGATATAAACGCAATTACTCCAGTCGAAACACAAAAGGACCTTGGTGTAACCATGTCTAAAAACTTAAAATGGGAAACCCACATTGCTAATATAGTGAAGAAAGTCAACAGACTCATTTACCTTAACAAAAGAGCCTTTAAAGACCATTCCGAAGATATGATCCTCAAATTATATACAACTTACATAAGACCCAACTTATATAAGACCAAAGATAGAATTTGCACAACCGTTTGGGATCTATACTTTGTGAAAGGCAATAAACTGCTGGAAAGAGTACAAAGGAGAGTCACCAAAATACCACCAACGCTAAAAAACAATGAGTATTGTGATCGGCTAGCCAAACTACAACTTACAAGTTTAAAGGATAAAAGAACTAGAGGAAACTTAATAGAAACTTACAAGTGGACCAGCGGATATTACACCTGTGATAATATCTTCCAGGTCAGCACATCAAGAACCTTGGAGAGGTCACTTAAAGAAATTAGATAAAGAAAAGTGTAATAAACTGCAAAGAAAAAATTTCGTAACAAAGAGAATTGTATATCTGTGGAATGGTCTCCAGGAACATACAGTCTCAACCCAGAACATAAACCAATTCAAGGCGAGAGTGGATATAGAACTCGAAGAAAGAAAAAATTATTTTATTCATTATAGTTTAGTGTATTGGGTTTTAACTGTCATGTAGTGATTTAGAATAAATTTTGTCAGTAACTAAAAGAGCAGAATCATCGACTATGTCGCTTGCGTGTTCTTAAAAACAATAATAACAAGTCTCCAAATCGCTTCATAAACAAAAGAGATAATAACGTGGCTCTAGTCTCATTGTCACCTGGTATATGAAAATTCTGTGGAAATGACCAGTGAACATAAGTTTCAACAAACATCTGATTTTTCAAAACATTCGATTTTCATTAAAGAAACGATGTAGAACTTGTTACATGAAGGAGAAGGTCGTGTTGAACACTTGTTGAATTAAATTATTATGATCTTTATAAATTGTCTTTTAATAATAAACATAATTTTCTTTATTTCACATATCACATTTGTCATTTTGCATTTAATAATGAATTCTAATTAAATCTATATATAAATAGGCAAAGACAAAATAGTTCAAGTACAATTTTCTCTTTTGTTTGTGAACTGATTTTATTTTTTTTTTTAGTTTCATTTGGTAGCTATTGACAGGCGTTAGTGTTATCAATAAAAAAAATTGGAAATACTAGGTATTTTTTAGACAAATTGATAGATTAAAAGTTTTAGCAAATATTAAATTAATAAAAAAAAAGTTCGATATATTTTAAATAAATTTTATTATACTTTAATTTTGGTTGCATTTAAGATACCTTTTAATTACTAATAGGTATTCTATTTATATTATTATTTTTCTCATATATTTTCGCCACACATGTAAACTTAGTGCCCGTTTTTTCAACACAGAGTAAAGTTGAAAGTAACTATTTGCTGATTGGGCTATACATTATACTTCGTTAATCTGCCAACTAATCCTATGTTTAATTTTAGTTAAGAGGTGAAAAAATGGCCCCATTACTCTTACTTCGTGGCTAGTTTATTTGTAATGTATTTGTTTATAAAATCTTTGCATTAATTCATAATTTTATTCCATAAATAAACATATTTTCCTGAAGCTAATTTAAATAATAATTGCAATAACAATATTTGTAGCGATCCTATAATGTTGAAGGTATAATTAGGTATAAACCAACAACTCTTACCTATTTCTATCTTCATTTCTATCTCTTCCACCATATCTATTATCTCTGTCAGGTCTGTCGTCTTTACGATCTCTTAGAGACGTATCCCTGGATTCTCGTTGTTTGGGGCTGTTCCTTTGATCATCTCTGTCACGACGGTACTTCGAAGTTGACTTAGATTCAGCGTCAGAGTCCTGGGGGAAAAAGACTCTCTTACCTATTGCTGGATTTACCAAATCATCTAGCGAACAGGATAACAATAAATCTTTGGAAATGACAGGGTATCAAGAAAAAGGTACCGATGAACAAATGTAGTGAAAAAAATTTACATTATTCATTGCGATCGTCTTTTTAACCTATTTTATAAGAGTAAAGACTTGTCGCGCTGGATGATAAATACTTGTAAATTATTCTGATATCCAGAAAATGAATTGAAGAAAAAGGTATTTTTTAATACAAAATGAGTAGTGTAATTTACCAAAAGTAAATGTAGAAATTTAAATAGGTATATGATTTAAACATTTTTAATTTTGATGGGTTATTTTAGCAAACATTTTGTAACTTATCTAATATTTTCATTTTATTTTAAAGGTTTGCTAGAGTACATTAAAAATGTATTTTTAGAATTTACTATATATTTGTCTCATTTGTAACTATGATTTTTCCGCGGAAAGACAGATGAGATTAGCGTCAGTCTTGATATTCTTACAACTAGTAGATCCAGATATTTATAAAGAAATGTGTCAATTGAACTATTCGACTTTGGCATAATTTACTTTTTTATGGTTTTAGTTTTACTTAAACTATTGAAACTATTAAATTTTTTATGCTTTAATAGGTAATTTTATTGTGTATGTCGTCTATGCCATGCTTTTTTTTATTTATTGGTCTACATAGCTAAGATGATACAGCCATTTGGTAACAACAGGTAAATAATTACAATATTATACAGCTTAATTTTAGACATTTGTATAAATTTTGATATTTTTTTAACATTACCGAAAGAATCTTAAAAAATATATCAAAAAGTGTAACAGGAACTATAAAATTTTTTGGGATATCTAACTCTCTAAAAATCCATAAATTTTATAAAAATTATTCTGACAATTAAAAAAAATATGCTGTAAATCCTCCCGTTCTGCACACGTACACCTATCATTTTCTTTTATACCTATTTTCTTGAGATGCAACATACTCAATCAATGACTGCTTGTTAATCTGCAAATGGTACTAATAACCCTTCTATTCAAATTTTTAATTATTCCAAACCACGGTCTCTTTAATGGAATTTGAGTCACATCTCCATATAGTCTCCCTTTAACTTGGCATAGCACTTTATATTTCTCCTCCCATTTTTCCATGTATTGGATTTAAAAAAAAAGGCAAGAGTTCACTATGATGCACCCTGGCATTAATACTCAATACTTGCAGTCAGCCTTTTTTGGCCAGTTCATCTACTTCCTCATTTCCACTTATTCTGCAGTGACTAGGAATCCATACTAGACAAATATCTATCCCCAAACTCTTTGCATTAAATATACTATTTTTTGTTTCTAATGTTAAATAGTCCCTCTTAGTTGATATGTATTTAATGGAATTTTTTTAGAGAGCACTTTTAGAGTCGCTAAAAATGACTACCTAATTCAATGTGATGTAATTGTTAGGTCACTCGAACGGGAACAGTTTAAACCATTTTTAAACTGGATGAATTATAGTTAAACCAGTCGATTGCTCGAATATGGCTTAAATATAATCATTTGAAGTTTAATTAAATTTTTTATGTTTGATTAGATTGCTGGTCGCTTGTTGATTGACATTTGTTAATTTGTTTATTTTTATTGTTATATTATTCTTCTATAAGACTTTTCTACTATTTCCATTTGCACGTTACTGCATTGGCATCACAATGCCTAAAATTAGTCTTTATTGCACACCTGTGCAAAAGTGATGTTCATTAATATTTTTTGTTATGCATTTTTAAACAATTGTCAATCTTCTGACATTTGCATTTGTGGCCTGGTTTATGTTACTAGGCCATAGTTTTTTATTCACTACCGACTGATATATAAATTTAAAAATATTTATAAAAATTACTCTCCCCCTTCTTAGCCTATACCCTTCATTTTTAAATTAAGATCAGGTTAATTATTCAACATCCAGCCATTATATTGCTGAAAATTAATTAAAAAAATATATATGATAGAGAATTAATTTTGTAATTATAATTTTAAAGTTTTTGTCCACGACCACTTAATAATAAATCAATATTCTACCTCCTAACTAAAAGCATATGATACCCATATATCACTAGAGTGAATTATGATCATTCACGCTTTTGTAATACTGGCACATTCCGGTAGATAACTAAAGATGGGCGATACTTTTCATAACGATATTTTCTAGATCGAAAAATAAAATTAAAAAATCGAAATTCGAAAAATTGGAAAATCAAACATTCGAAAAATTGGAAAATTAAAAAGTCGAAAAAACAACAGTTAGTTACCTATGTTTAATAAAAACTTTCCATTCTACACTTAACTTTTATTTAATAAAGAAACCATAATGGTCGTGGACAAAGTATATTATTAGACTCGCAATTTATGGCCATTATTCACTCGGGTGACTTGTGCCCCTCGCCTACGGCTCGGGACGCAAACGTCACCCTGCGTGAATAATGGCTACCATAAATTGCTCGTTTAATAATATACTATTAATATCTAATGTGAAATTATGGATAGTTATTATTCATTCTTACAAGATTGCTGTTTATATTTATGTTTTTTTTGTTTGAAATTTGTACATTGTTGTGACATAAAATTGTATAAAGGTAAAGTCATTTTCAAACCCATTGAATTGTCACTTTCATATAAAACGTATATTCTTCAATAAAACTATACTTTTTTAGAAAACTATGCTATTTGTTCTTTTATATAAGTTATTACCCTGCTATTTTGCTAAACACATATCCTAACATACAATTTTTTTTTTTTTGAATATGTTCTTACACATTTAAACTAAATATTTTTGTCACGTCACGTCAATATAAATAGAATTTGGAAAGAAAATAGAGACTGATCTTACTTAATAGCGACCACTGACTTACTACTACCTCTATGTATCAATTTTTTAGCTGATTTACCTTCCTAAAAGCATTGGCGCGCCAAAAGTTTAGATTTGTAATTCAAATTTATTAATAAAGAAATGATTCAAGGGGATTTTGCGATCGATTAAAAATTAAGCTTCAAGAAAAGTTAAGGGATATAAAATAAAAAAAAATCCAAGGGGATCCTAACTATAACTAATAATTTCTTAACTCTCTTGAGCATAAAGGATGATGTGTAATTGGTCTTATTTTCTTCTCTTCCACACATAATTTAGTGTTCTATTTTCTACTATTTCACCTTTATTAGTTATTTTCCTCTCTCCCACTCCTCACCTTTTGGCTAATGGACAGATTATCTGGTCAAAAAATCCAACCTCACACACACACTCCTCATCTATGGACAACTATATGCAGATTTGAGGTATGGTTTCTTTAATTTTATATTGGTTTCACATACCACCATACTAAATTGGACATTTTCTGAATTTTAAAAGAAACAGTTTGTTTTCTTTTTAATCACATGTATGTACTTTTTTGAATACAAGTAAGCAACTTACATGTTTGTTTAATCATATATTGTAATTAAACCCAGTTTTTAGCCCTATGATGGCCCATAGTGGCCAAAACTCCTCTCCCAATATCTCAATCAAATGAACGTCTATGATAAATAATTTTGAGTTCATAGATGAACTATGTAACAAACCATTTTAAATTTGTTTGTTCCTATAAGATAGTTTTTTGAATAACCATGAAACACAGAAAACAGTGTCATCTTTATAACTTGAAACGTGTTCTCTTAAATATGCATCAAAATATTGCACATTTGTTCAAATATTGCACATTTGTTCAAATATCCCAAATAATTAAAAAACTGATTATATCATAAAGTTATTTAGAAATGATAATGCATAAATGACTTTATGCAATATCTTAAACATTTGGAAAACTAAAAATTCTTTGAATATCCCAGAAAACGATTATTTTTATAAAAAATAAAAATGCAACATTTCTATTCATAAATGTAAAGAAAAATACATCATAAAAAACATGTTTTACCTGTGGTCTTGAAACAGTAAAAAAATAACTGTCACCTTCCCTAAATTGATACTCACCAAAATATTGTTGAAGATGTTCACTATTGGCTTTTTCAGTGTTGAGGCTCGGGTTACAAGTTCTTTACAATATATTAACAGAGTGAGTTAATATCAAAAGTTTCAATATCAAATGTGTAAGTAGTGAAATGATTTGTTTCAATCTTGGGTTTTGGTATTTTTTAGGAATATATCTAGTTTTGTTAAACTTTTTGAGACAAAAAAAGCTCAACTTAGTAATTCCAAGATAAAACTTAATAATTCTTATTCAGGCACAATATAAATTATATAATCAATATTCTATTGCTCTATTTTATTAAATTCTATCATAGTATATTTATGTTTATTGGATTTTAAATGCAATTTTTAAATAAATTCTTCAAAATACTAAAACCCAAAACAAAATATATTCAAATAAGTATTTTGTAAGATTTTGAAAGCTTGAAAAACTGTACAAAGTTAGCCTATGCAAATCTCAAAATAATTGCAAGGTACTTTTATTTGATTAACAGTATAATTTGTGTTTTGCTTTTTGAAATAAATGTCTGTATAAAAATGATATTTTTCAATGATTACCTCACTAAGACTCATCTGGACTTCATCATAATTAGTGTCATCATGTGGGGATGAGCAGCCACCTCCACCATCTGAAGGTTTCCTGTAGTTTCTCCCAGGTACTCCATAGCGATCCTGTCAAGAATTGTTGGTGATGATCGTACTAATTTTTAGCAAATAAATAATTAGTATATATTAAATAATGAGGGATTGGGCTTGAATTGTGATTTGTTGTTACAGTTAACAATTCTATGAAATTGCGAACAAAAGCCATTCAAATAATGCAACAGCAATATAGAAGAAAAAAGTTTATTTTTATTTCAATTTAGTACGGTAGAATTAATAAACTCTACTACGACATACGTAGAACTGAAATACTCAGGATCTTGTCTACTCGGTAATGTGATCAATAATAGCATGGGATACTAACATGTAATATAAAGTAAACTTACTGAACGGACCATCGTCCTTTCTTCTGGAGAATCATCATCATCACTTCCATAGTTCATTAACGAATTCATATTTGTAGTTATTTAAGCAATAATATCAATTTATAAAGAAAATCGTTTACAATTAACACAATGTAATGTCAATTGCAAATAGAGCGGTCATTTTGTTTTAAAATGCCAAATGTAAATTTGTCAAATTGTATGACATTTCTACTTCTTTTTTGAATGATCAATATCCCGATTTCGGTCATAGTTTCAGATTAAACAAAAAATACAGCTAAAGCTAAACGATATTGTTCTTGTATATACATATATTTCAATAGGCATAAGAAACATAAATTTTTAACTCTTTAAGTGCAAATTTATTGGGTTATTTGGGTTTATTTCTGGTCGCGTAAATTTGCCTATATTTTGATAGACAAATAAGATTCTTTCGTTCGCTGTTGGTGCAGTGTCCACCAGTGTAAATTACACCAGTTACACCACCTTATTTACCTTAGTTTACTTCCCTCCTTATTCCTTATACACATTTCGAGTGTAATTCACTCCTGCTAAATAGCTGGTGGAGAAAATATCCACCAGTGGACACCACATCGCCGACAGGAAGGTTTAGTGGATTTTACACCGGGCCGAACGAAAGGTTTAGTGTACATTGGTGTAGTTCATTCCTACACCAGTGGGACGAACCAAAGAACCTATAGGTTCTTTCGTTCGTCCCACTGGGGACCTATTTTCAAACCGTGTGAGTACTCATTTCTCTCAAGATTCTCATCAGAAATGTCATACGTCAATGTGGAAACGCTGTTTTTAAAGGCTTCGAGGATTAAAATTCTTAGGAGGATATTAATTATCTCTAAATAAACCGTGAGAAACAATCAGTGAGTTTACACTGGCCCTTATTACCCTAAAAATACTGTTTTACGTTGACGTATGACATTTCTCTCGAGAGAAATGAATTCTCTCGACTTTGAAAATAGCACCCCTGGTGTAGAAATGAACTACACTAACAGACACTAAACCACACTAAACCTTTCGTTTGACCCGGTGTAAAATTCACAACCTCTTTCTGTCGGCGATGTGGTGTCGGTGTCCATTGGTGGATATTTTCTCCACCAGCTATTTAGGAAGAGTGAATTACACTCGACATGTGTATAAGGAATAAGGAGGAAGTAAATCAGGTGTAATTTACACTGGTAGACACTGCACCGACAGCGAACGAAAGAACCTCTTATGACATATGTCATCCAAATCAATCAATTTTTGAATTTGACGTTTGTCAAATAGCAAAATGGAAAAAGTTGCAATTTTGATGCAGTTAATAGATAATCTTATTAATCTTTAACTATTTTACAAATTTACTTAAAATGAATATATTTTTAAGTCTTAATTTATAACATCAGTATTACTAAGTATTGAAGACTGATTTTCACTATATTACTTCTAAAAATCATCAGGTAATAATGATTAGCAGTACTAATTTTGCTGAAATTCTGGATTATAAAAATTTTAGAATCCAAGAAGCAATGACAGAAAACGTAGAACTACAACAGTTAGTTGAAGAAGAAGCCGATGAAGAATTTTCCATTCGTGAACCAGAACCATGTTGCCACTGTCCATACCTAGGTCTTATATTGGCAACTTTAAGTTCCTTATTTTTTTCTCTGTGCTCTGTGATCGTGAAGTGGATGACTGACGTACATCCGATGGCTTTGGCAGCTTACCGATACCTTGGAGTGCTCTTACCAGCAATACCAATAGTAATATATCGAGAAGAAATAGTGTTTCCCAAAGGAAAACGTATCATGTTACTTTTGAGATCTTTTACTGGTACTGTGTCTTTAATGTTGAGTTTTTATGCTTTTCGCCACATGCCCCTAGCCGATGCTTCTGTAATAGTGTTTTCAGTGCCTGTATTCACAGGTATTTTTGCTAGAATGTTTTTGAAAGAACCTTGTGGTTTGTTTAATGCATTTTCTGTAGTACTTACCCTTATAGGAGTAGTTTTAATAACTCGACCACCCTTATTGTTTGGAAACACTGTAAATTCCCTAGGTGATAATGGACAGAAGACTGAGATGTGGGGGGCAGTAGCAGCTTTTTCAGCTACTTTATTTGGAGCTAATGCATATGTTTTACTGAGAGCTCTAAAAGGGATAAATTTTGCTGTCATAATGACGAATTTTGGATCTTTTGCTTTCATCCTATGTCTTCTAGTTACTGTCTTATTAGGAGCTCTTTGCTTACCTCCTTGTGGACTGGATAGGTACCTTATAGTAGCCTTAGCAGTTTTTAGTTTTTTAGGTCAGATCCTTCTCACATTGGCCTTGCAAATGGAGCAGGCAGGACCTGTTGCCATTGCTCGAAGCAGTGACATAGTCTTTGCTTTCATCTGGCAGGTAATGTTTTTCAATGAAGTACCAAATATGTTTTCTATTGGGGGAGCCATTTTGGTACTAAGTTCTGTTGTGTTGATAGGACTCAGAAAATGGGTTCTTGCTTTGCCTTATGATGCTAGTTTGAGAAGGAAGTTGCATTTTTTAACAAAATAATTGTTCACTAATCACAAATATTGCATATGTGGTGTTACTTTATTTTTTATACATTTTAGATGAAATATTTATTTCTTATATATATGAAATTGTTAAATACTAACCATATATTTTTGGTTTATAAATGAATCATTGCATGGGAAATTTTAGTGCAGCTTTGATGCCTATAAATAAGTAATTTTTTATAAGATAAAAATCTCCATTTTATAAATAAATGTTTACAAATACATAACATTAGATGGGCAATTGAGGAGTAAAAGTATTATTTTATGTTTTTTAAAAATACATAAAAGAATGAATGATTTAAAGCTACACATAAATATCTCATTCTATAAATATTCCCTGTGGTATAATAGTAAAAATGCCTTTTCGATCAACATTGTGTAATCTAGTCCAAAATAGATCAATATATTTTTTCTTTTGTAAGTTTAGTTATTAAGTTACAAATGTTTATCAAAGACAACAGTTCATTCTTGTGTGTAATATTTTTATAATTTCCTTAATCTCAAATTTGAATACAAATAGCACAATTTGTGTAAAAACTATATTGAACTATAGTAAAATGTAGATCTTTTTGTTAATACCAAAGACATTCTTCTAGTCATTTTTTTTTATAGATCTTTTTATTTATGTACATAAGTATTATATTTTAGAATATAAACCATTGATTAATATTTGTTAATAGACTTAATTTTGATGTAAAAAAATCTCGAAAAGGACCAACATAAGTATTAATTGGATGTTAGTCATAGTTTTTTTGTTGGATGTACTTACTAGGTTCTTGTTTTGGATTATGTGATGGTTTATGCATTCAATAACAAAAAAAAAAACAATCATTCTGAGTAATTACTTTTTTTCACTTAAATTTTTGTATATTACTTACATACCTAAATATAACTCCAGATTTGTTGTTTGTTAATTTTATTCTTTTGTGAGATTATATTATTAGAGTATAATTAAATTTGTTAAATCATATTGTAGACCCCTAATTTTTTTACATTTAAGGTGAGTGCATAAATCGATAATTTTTTGCTAGCATATTCTTTAAAACTACATACAGTATGTATTCCTGAAACAATGTAATCTAAAATTATTAAAAATTATGAAATAACTTCTTTTTCTTTTATTATAGAGAAAATAGTATAAAGATTTTGAAACTCTTAATTTTATGTATATCTAAGTATTATTAATCTATTATTACATAAATATTTAATTTTATTTTCAATATAAATCTTTAGCTAGCTTCTATAATTGAGTCCCTAATTTCACTTTGTTGCATATTTTCAACAAAGAGCTAGATGCTAATTTAATCCTCAGTTTCATTGTGTTGTTTATTTGTAACAAAAAGCAGTTCTCAAAAGGTCTATAAATAATCGAAATGCTTATTTACACCGTATATGGCTGTACGGTATATATATATATATTTTCGTAAGTATTGTTTTGTCGCAATGTTGCTGATAAATAACGGCATTTGGTAAAATGAGTAAATATTTTTATTACTGTACGATTAATATCCTAAAATAACTCCGTATTCTGAGTCTATTACAAAATGAACTTCCAGATGTTTACTATAATTAATGCTCATTCAATTTTATTTAAAAAAATTAGACAATATGCAGCCCACATACAAAAATAATATTCACACCCACTCTGATATCCATCCTGTCTAGAAATATGATCGGACTAATTCGTAAAATTGAGCGTAAAGTTTTTTTATTAATCACCCAACGATTATACAGCAGACGTACAATCTTGGACAATCAAAAGTCATAAAAAGTGAATCTAGTAATACCAAGAATTTACTTTTAACTACTATGGAGACAGGAGCGGTCTCAAATGTGTCTAGTCTCTTAATATCGAATAGTTTACGGATTTAATATTTACTTCAATCTTTCTGGTCACCATTTTTTGTATATAGGTGTATCACTATTTACTAATCTATACCAGCAAGTAAAAAAAGGACAAGAAATCTTCAAATTCAAATACCAGCCCGAGAATCCTGGACATAGGTAGGTACCTCATATACAGGCTGAACTCGTATGCCGACGGTTGAAAAACCTAAAGAGCTGGTGTAGGACTCCAGAAGAATAAGTTGTTCCAGGCCTAACTAATAGCTATACAATACTGTGCAAGAGAAATAATAAATCGGTAAGTATTAGGCAAAGCTATTGCCATCTACTCTCATTAACAAGCACCTGCCTCCAAAAGCAATTATATCACCAGAAAGAGCTAAAAGTGGTCAAAACAAAGTCTTAGCCTCGGTACCAGGCCATGAAGGATATCAGGGCAAAGAAAGAGCCCACAAACTAGCCCAAGAAGACTCGGTTATAAGCCCATGGCAGTCTCAGAACCCTACTCTGTAGAGTTGCTAAAGGCATTGTGCAAGGTACCTATCAATCAGATAATGAATGCAAATAGTCTCAGGAATAGTGGAATAACTATCTAAGATTGAGACGGGCGAAAAGTTCATTAAGAAACCGTCGGCGAAGTCCAAGATCTATACTGATTCAAAAACGATAAATCGTTAGGATAACAGTAGGGCTTTTTACCTGTCACATATGAGTCACCAATTCACCAGAAGAAGCAACAACTTAGCCGAGATACTTTAAATAACGGAGTCCCCAATAGATCTGAAAAAGTCACGATGAACAAGGACAAATAATGTCCAGCTCCTTTCAAATCTAATCTTTGCATCCTTTAAATTCCTTTTGATGGTTTTTGCTTGTAGTTTCAATTAATAGAAAATTAGAAAAATGTTGCATAAGAATGACTGTCCGCCGGCTCAAAACCGGCCCTTATAAAATATATTTTAAACTGCTGTGGAAATTGTAAAATTAATACCCGAGAAAAAGAAATTGTCTCTGGAGTTTGTGCAACATCATTGTAATTTTAAGAGTTTTGGACCACCCGCAATGGCTCAAAAAAAACATTTTGGATGATTAATGTTCACGTTTTATTGTTGATATTTTAATTTGACCGAATGTGCTTCGCAAACTAGGTACCCATAGGTACTTATTAATTATTAGCATGAAAATTATATGTTGCGAAAGTAAAATGTTACCTACTTTACTTCTCTACCATAGTAAAATATTTTATTTTCAGACTAAACACATTTCTACAATTTAATCTAAACCCCTTGCGCGGGTATACGCCCGTAAACATTTTAAATGGCGACAGAGGTCGACTGATTGCTCATTTGAAAGGGGTTTTAATTATATATTAAATGGTTTAAATAATTATTAATTTATTTTATGTTTTTTACTTTAATTAAATTTAAAAAAATTTTCAAGGGGATAGCTATCCTGCGGGGTTGAAATTAAAGAAAAAAATGTGCCTCAGCAGAAATACGAGAAGTCGTTGCTACATCTTTTGTTCGTTGTATGTTTTCTTCTTCTCTCTCTATATCACTGTTAGTTATTAGAATGGGAATATATACGTTGTGGTGCTTACTGAGTGTCTGCAGCGGTTTTTTTGAGCAACACCTATCAAAAAATAGTTATTCTCTTAGATAGAAATAAAAATACAATTTTAATTTCAAAATCCATTCATTTAATAACTAGAAGGTATACATGACAATATTAAATCCTATTTTCATAATCATGATTTGATATTACTCTAAAATTTTAATAAGCATCCGAAAAAAAATGGATTATGAAAATGGTTATCCCTATACCTACAGAGTGTTTCTATATTCGACAAATATCAGTAACAAAGAATAATTATTAACTTTTTTTAAAATTTATATAGCAATATTAAATTTGGTATTTGTTTCCCTTATAAACTGAAAACTACTTTTATAATTTTTAAACGAACGTAATAACACTCTGTGAAAAATATGTTTTGCATTCATATCTACTTAGACTGGAAATCAATAGTAGAACCTTCTTCTACCTCGTCAAAAACATTAGTTTCTTCTTTGTCTTCATCTTCTTCTTCCCCTGTTTCTTCATAGTCAATATCTTCTCCTTTTAATCCTTCCATGTCGATATATTCTAACTCATTTTCTCCAATATTCAACACATCCAAATCAAACAAATCGCCCATCGGTGGCATATCATCTACGTCATCCTCATTTCCTTCAATGTTGATTTTCGTTTCTTCTCGAATCTTCCGCAACGTCTCCAAATCCTTATTTTCCGCGTCCTGTAATTCTCGCAATCTATCTTCCAACTTCTTTAGATTCTTCTCCAACATGACGTGATTCATCTTTCTCACTTCATCGATGGTTTTGGAAGCATCTCCATCATTTGAGTCCTCTTTGCTATTTAGATTCTTTTCGCTAGATTTCTCATCTAATTTGAATTTTTCTAATTGCGAATCTATGTCTTCTATTTTTTTCTTGTCGTCGAAGGTGAAACAGTATGCGTTAGAAAAGTAACTGGATCTTCCGCTTTCCGTGCTCGGCAAAGTAAACGGAGATCTTTGTTGTCGTTCCTGCGTATCTTCATCTTCGTATTGAAGGATGTCCTCAAGTTTGGCTTTCTCTTCATCTGTTAGAGATGAATTGGCGAAAACTCCTTCTTTGGCTAAGTAGATGTTTCTCATAATGAAATCTTTCTGTTTTTTCTTCGGCGATGATGGTTTTTTGTTAGTACCTGACCAAACAGATGAAAACAGATGGTTAATGATATATTTCCCTAAATACAAGAAGAAGAGGGATACAAACAGTAAAGATAATTTGCATGCAAGAGATACAACATAGAGAAGAGATATGTCAAAATTACATGTAAAGAAATAAGGAATAACAGAAACAAATCTTATTTTTAAATACTGTCTTGATTTCCCCTCAGTCAACATGGCTACCTTTTATTGAATCAGTCTTATAGAGATCAAAGAAGCTGACCTAAAGTTTATTCTCTGATTTGTAGTTGCTCTGTGGTTAAAGGAAGACAAATGGATAAAGCAGGAAAGTTATTATGAATGAATAAATAAAAAAAGATGCGGACAGTGAAGGAAACTAAGCTGAAAGAAAATATGAAAGAAAATACCCTCAGAATTGAAGAACTTTGTACTAGGAAAGCGTTAGAGTTGGAAGTTAAGGGATGAAATATAAGAACTAAGAAAAATAGATTAGATAGTTAATTAGTAGTGTTTGAGGGTATTTACATTATCGATCCTGCCTGAGGAAAAAGGCCTGAATCATGATGGAATAAAAGGCTAGGAAACGTACCTGGAACTTCTAGTGTTTTCTTATCTTTTTCTTCAGTTTTTAAATCTGAAAATTCAAACTGGCAAAGGTTTAAAAATAGCTCAGTGTCTCTTTCTGGTAAAGTATTGTTCTTGGTGATTTCATTGCACATTTCTATCTGCGTTTCCAATCTTTCAGCTTTTTCGTTTTGATAATCTGATATCACAGAATGTATTTCCTCGTCTAATTTCTTGATTGCGTTTAGTTGCTCCTGTACTTCGGGGGTGTTCTTCAAGTTACTGAACAATGTTTCGTCTTCCAGGTAAAGACCGTCGTTGTAGTTGTTAGATTTTTTTAAAGCCGGAACATTTTTTAAACCCTGCACTTTCCCCATCATCTCGCTGTAGAACGATTCGAATTCTTTGATAAAATTTTCGGTGGTTTGGTTTTCGCTGATCATAGATACTTTAGAAGTTGACGGTAAGTATTTCAGACCGATGTCATCTACAGATTGACCAGTCTTGTTGGCGGAGTAAGATTTCGTGATACCCAATGATTCTAAGTAATCTCTCGTGTTTTCTGGTAAATCTTCTAAAACTTCGAAATCTTCGGGGTCGGAACAGTAATTTTCAATATTTTGAAACTGAGATTTCCCCGATACCTCCATTTTGACGGTGTAGTTTCTTGATATTTTCAAAATATAGAAGAGTTAAAATACACTTTGACAACAACTAAATGAGATGACATTTACACCTTCTTGATTTCGGTGTTGACAGTTGGATGCTATAGTTGTTGATTTTGTAGAATTTAATGTAAAAGTTATAATTATTTTACTTTTAAAGCCATACTATAAAAAAACAAATTTAAATAGAACCTGCTTATAAATCACGGAGGTGACTAAAAGTTTAATCAATAAAAACGGTTGCTAACATTACAGAAATTACATAAAAAGCTAGAAATGTATGCCAATGAAGACTTTACCAGTAATAAAGGCAATTTACGCCACACACATAGATACAGAGTGTTTAAAATTAAGTTTGGATTGAAGAACTAAGCCCAATAGAGCACAATAGAAAAATCGTTTTCAATTTAAGTATATATGAAAATGAAAGCACATTCTTCTAATATGAGAATTTGTTTCTTTTTTATCAAAACTAATTTGAATTACTGAGGCGTGCCGACATAAAATTTTCTTTTCTCCACATTTCCGAAAATCCTAAGTTCGAAAACGTACAAACAGGGCCGACTAGAGGGGGAGGGGCAGCCGGGACTAATTCCCGGGGCCCGGGTTCAAATGGGGGCCCGGCAGCGGTGGTTTTGTTACTCTCAGAAGTTCGACCGAAGAGAGAGGAAGTTCTTACTTGAAGACCTTTTTCTTTTAGAGAGATTGAAGTAGAAGAGGAGCAATTTTTGCTTGTAGACCTTTATTTTTTTTTGAGACCTTGTTATTTAATTTTTTATAAAATTGTCGCGGGGCCCGATCTGGAGAATTGTCCTGGGGCCCGGTCTGGCTCTAGGCGGCCCTGCGTACAAAAAATCTCGTCTGTGCGTTTGTATGTGTATAAGTACGCCGACACGATCTCTAGAACAAAAGTTCCGATTGATTTAATTTGATTTCTTCTAGTTGAAAACCCTATTAATTTAAAAAAATCTATTTAACTGTAGTGCTTTATATCACGGTTTTTTAAAACGTCATGCATTTCTTATGGAGCTTAAAAAAATCTTAATTTTAAAAGATTTCGGTTTAACTTTAGTGCTTTAAATATCAGTGTATTTTATACACTGTAGCATGGGTATAGTTTTTTCTAGATAGCCATGCTTATCAACAATGAAACTACAATAATTTTATATTACTGTCATTCTTGAAAGCCAAATTATTTATTTTAACTATGTGAAAATATTTTTTTTTAGTGAAGTAACGATGGTTTTGGTACGAGTTTTAGCGAATTCCAGAATGGAACTCGTATCTAAATTTGATATTAGGATCAAAAAGGTAAATGGACCAAATATTATTTTTACTAGGGCAGGCTTATGAAGTAAACGATCAAAATATTTTATATGGACAGGTAAAAGGATAAAATATTTTGATGTGGGCAGACTTAAGGGAGAAATGGGCCAAATATTATTACATGGGCATTCGTAATTGGTAAAAGGACCAAATATTTTTACATGGATAAGTTTGAGAGGTAATGGGTCCAATTATTTTTACATGTACAGTTTTAAGGGGTAGATGACCCAAATATTGTTATGCATTCATACTCAAGAGGTAAATAGTCCAAATATATTTCACATGAGCAGGTGTAAGGAGTAAAGGGACCAACTATTTTTGCATGGACAGGCTTGAGACTCATATATGACATTCCGATTTACAGTGTTCGTACACAAAATGTTGACACAAATGGAAAATCGAATATAAATTTTTATTTTGTTACTATTGTCGCGAGGGAGACGGCCCTGTGCTTTATTTACTTCTTGCCCGCGGTATAAAGGACGGTTGCTTCTCGAATCTACCAGAAAAAGCGGTAAGTGGCCGTTGATTCATAGAGATGGAATCTCGGACATTCCACATCGTCTAGAAACTTTACGTACAGAGTTGGGCTTGGTATAAATAGCGCGACTTATCGACGGACGGGCAGATTCGAATAAAGTTACTGTATAGAAAAATAAATTGTAATAAATACATTATAATTGTGCCTAAGTATTATATAAATTAATTAGTACGTCATATATAAATTATAAATAGTGTGTTTTAAATAAATAAACTATAAATAAGTTAAATAAACGTCACATTGGTGTTAGAAGTGGAACTGTAAATAAATAGTGGACAAAAATGGCTAAAAAACTGTGTGATTTAAAAGTGGCTGAATTGAGTCGAGAATTAGAAGAACGTGAACTGGAGACGACAGGGAAGAAATCAGAGCTGGCAGAACGACTCAAAAAAGCACTAGAAAATGAAAGTTTGGATTCGGAAACGTATCTATTTTCTGATGATTCACCTTCTGCTATAATTTCTTAAATTTCTTCTGATATGGAAAGTAAGATATTATTATATTCTTTAAAAACCGATATTTCTTCTGATGTTTCCTCTATTAAAAATGATATTTCCTCCTTAGAAACTAAAGTTTCTTCTGACATTACTTCCTTGGAAACTAAAATTTCTTCTGACATTACTTCTTTAGAAAGTAAAGTTTCTTCTGACATTACTTCTTTAGAAAGTAAAGTTTTGTCTGATATTTCTTCCTTAGAAGAAAAGGTGCGTCTTCTGATATGACTTCCGTGAAAAACGGAATCTCTTCTTTAGAAACTAAAGTTTCTTCTGATATCTCTTTTTTAAAAGATGAAATTTCTTCTGGTATGTCTCAACTAAAAAATGAAACCTCTGATGTGGAAAACAAAATGTCTTCTGTAGAGGAGAAAATAAAACAGATGGAAAAGAAGATAGAAGAACTGGAACATACAGAACCGGCCAAGGACGATGAAATAAAGTGTCATGAGGTGGAGTCAAGGTTGAAATTGGAAGGAGCTGTAAAGCTCTGCTCGTGTTAAAGCCCCAACTTTCGACGGGAAGATTTCATGGACCAACTACCTTAAACAGTTCGAAGCTGCTGCCAGAGCAAACGAATGGTCTGAATGAGAGAAGGTACTACATTTGACCATCGCCCTTCGAGGAGACGCTTTAGATGTTCTTCAGACAATACCTGCAATGTGGAAGAGACGGACGATTTTGAACAACTCAAAAAAAGACTAAACATGCAATATGGGCACGAACATTTCGAGCATTTTAATCACAGTTAAATAATCGCAAACAGAAACGAGACGAGACCCTTCAAGAATATGAAGTAGATATTGCCAGGTTGGTGCGATTTGCCTACCTATCAGCTCCGGAAAACATGATGGAATGTTTGGCAGTCCAAACATTTGTTGATGGACTTCGTGACCACGAGATGCAGAAAACACTCCGCTCAGCCCGTCACAAAACATTGGACGATGTCTTGTCCGCTGCTGTATAGTATGAGGCAGCTACGCAGGCTTCTGGAGAATACAGTAAAGTCAGGACTGTAAAAGAAGAAAACGTAGAAGATAAACTCGACCAATTGGTTAACATGATGAAGAGCTTTACTAATAAAAATATGAAGACAAAGACAATCAGGTGCTGGAATCGCGGTGAACTGGGACATATACGCAATTCGTGCAAATGTCCTAGGGTCCCAACAAATGAAGACAACACGCCGCAGGAAAACTAGAGCGGGTCGGCCTAGAGTCTAGAGGGGGCAGCTTCGACCCGAAACCATTCCAAAGGCCATTTCATACTGAAAGCCTCTTTGAAAGGTCGCGATGATAGTGTATACGTAGAAGGCGAAGTAAATGGTAAAAAGTATACACTGTTGGTGGATACTGGAGCAACTAGGACCATTATACGACTATAACAACCATAAATAACCGCAAGAAACTTTTACCAACAAGATTGCGACTGAGGACTGCCACAGGTGAAAGTGCCAACATCCATGGGGAAATCCAAGTTCAATTTGGAATTGGTACAGAAAAGTTCACTCATACTGTTATTGTCGCTGATATTGAAGATGTTATTTTTGGAACGGATGTAATGAACTTACATGGTTTCCAGTCAGACAACAACTTCTGACAAATAATTCCAACGACAAATTTGAGCAAATGATTGCATTTACTGGGCAATCTCTGAATCAATTAAAGAAAAAGAAAATAAAGGAATTTCTTCGATGATATCGTGACATTTTTGTACCAAAAGGCGAAAAAACAGGACGAACTTCTGTTGTAATACACAAAATTAACACTAGTTACGCCAGGCCGATTCGTCAATCAGCTCGAAGATTACTAAAGGCCAAGAGAGAAGAAGCTGAACGGATTGATCGGGAAATGGAGGAAGAACCGGGCAGATTCGAATAAAGTGCTGTATAGAAAAGATAAATTGTAATAAATAAATTAGAATTGTGAGTTATAATAGTGCCTAAGTATTATATAAATTAATTAGTACTTCATAAATAAATTGTAAATAGTGTGTTTTAAATAAATAAACTATAAATAAATTAAATAAACGTCACACTATTTTTAATACTATTGGGACACATTGCATACACAATGATTTTGGTACGTTTTTTATATTCTGGGGAAGTATCTATGTTAAATAGCTTAACTCCAATTATTGTTGGTGCTATGGTACACATATTTAGATATGTTATAAATGATGGAATTTTATTTGAGATTTCTAAGTTGAAAACACTGAGTAGATTTTTCTCTAAAAATGGTATATATCGTATGTGCGTAGATAAGCTAATATCCATGTAGGTGTAGAAAAAAATTATTTTACATATATTTTAAATGTAATTTCTATGTAATGTAGATGAGCTATACTTGCATATTTTTGACAATTCTGCAGCTCTACAGCACTTATGCACCATCCGCCACTGATATAAAAGTTGCAATATTTTCCTTTTGTGATAGTTTTTATTAAAAATTTTAATAAATAACTCTGGGATTTTTAAAAGATGAAGGTATCATATTGCCATTGTAAATATTTAAATGCATTTTTTTCAGTAAAACAACTTTATACACTTGCATCTTCAATATAAATTACCTTTCATCTGAATCTCATTTTAGCATAAAAGCATTATTTAAAAACCATCAATGAAATACCTACCCCATTTAAATTAATAGTCTATAAAGAAATGTGTTAGGAATTACGTAAATAGAGAAAATAAATTATCCTATAGGTACCACCTCGTCATTTTGCATTTAATATATATGTATATATTTTAATAATTACATTTGTTGGGATATCTTAATAATAATAATCCTAATAAAATACAAAATAAAGTTACACCCTTTTTCGGTATGCTTGCGTCACGTGCTCGAATCGAAATGTCAATAGGCCAGGTAGTAATACATAGTTTTTTTTTAATTATTTTTGTAAATAAATCCCCAATTGGCATTTTAACAAACAATGGGCGAAGGAAACAGGTCAAGTTTAAAAATTTCCTGCCCCAAGACTAGACACA